TTCATTCATTCACCCGGTTTTTTTTTTACTTTTGGTTCATGCAAATTCAATGAAATTCGATATGTTTTTTTGTAGTGAAAAATTCAACTGCAATACCATTTTATCGCATACAAAATTGCTCTGAGATTGATAAGCAGCGGCACAAAAAAAAAATCGAAGCAATAAAAAAACACTTTTTGTCTATTCGTTGGCAAAGAAGATCTTCAATTTGTTGGATCTTTTTGTTCGATTCAAACGAACCGCCATCGGAGAAAAAAAGACAAAAAAAAATGCGTGCTTGTCGATTTTTTTCTCCGTCTGGCAGAGAGACGAAAATAAATTGGATCAAAGACAAAAAATGAAATGAGCAAATAAAATTTCGAGCGTTTGATGGCATTTGCAATTTTTGTGAACGGCAATTACTATCCCCCAAATTGCCATTTGCACCAGTCAACGATGGTCGATGGCTTTGAGAAACAAGACCGTTCGAACAGCATCACATTCGAATACCATATACACAAAATATATTTGTCTACGTACAAAAATGACATGTCAAAACGGTACACACATTTTGTAATTTATGACCAACTGCATGGTCATTTCATTGCAAACAGCTCCCTGCTTTCGGAATGGACATTGGAAACACCACCAGCCAATATATGTATATATATATATACATACGCGCGCGCATACACTCACAACACACAATAATAATGGAGTCGATGAAGAGAAAACTGTCGGTATCAGCATTAAAACAACGTATCGTTCCACACACGGTTCTCCACACGAATTCTCGGTCCATTGAGAAAGGACGCCGAATGTGAACACTTCAGAAATTACGACTGCTTCGATCGTAAATGCCGTCGAAATTGTATTCGTTTTATGCTTTTGATGGCATGTATGCCATATGTGTGTGTGTTTGCATTTTTTTCGCTTCTGTTTGCCGCTCTCTGTTCGCAAAAATAATAAATAATATGTGATTCGTAATCGAAATTGAAGGCAGCGCGAGAAAAAAAAGCGGACAATTGCCATCGAGTGTGCACATGACATTTTAACGGATTAAAGAATCGACCCACGCTTGATTAACACGCTATATTTGACGTCATCGAAAACCAAAGAAGAATCACGTTTACACCACTGACTCTTGACGTGCTTGCTCGCTCGCTGGAATCTATTGAGAAGTACAGCGGAAAATATGAGAGAATGTTGGCTGTCAGAAAACCATATTTGAAAGAGGAACAACCACTAAAACTCTCGACCTGTTCGTTCATTCATATACGTTTGGTTTTTCTTGCTTCCGATATGACAAATTTCATTACAAATTATAAAAAAAGTGTTTGTTCACAATCTCATTTTATTTTCAAATCAGATATTATTGCCGAGAGGCTTGATTTCCAATTACACCATTCGATTTGGTTGAATAAAAAAAAGTAACGACAACATGTTCTTTGTAAAATCCAAAAATCATCAAATGTGTTATGTAACGGCGCTGCCCTTTTGCAACAGTTAACTCGTGTAAATATGTAGCGTCAAATGAAATCCGCGACAGCAAATCGTGTAAACAAATAAAAGCACCATATAACCTGAATGTGTTCGTTCACGATTTTATAGCGATTGAAGCGGGCGAAAAAAACACGACATTTGATTGGGTTTTCGCTTCTATTATGACACTTTTATCTTCGCTTCTTTCAATCAACGGCTTGTTGTCTCGCCCGTCACTCTCTCACGTTTTCTGTTGTTATTGGTGAGGCAGTAAAAATAGTATTTTTCCCCTTTTTATGGCCGAATATTTCAATGAGGGAAGAGATGGGGAATATTGCGTTAGAGAATAATAAAATGAAAACAAAACCAATACACTCACTAGCACTTACATCTGCTTGAATTGCACCTTTGTTTCATTCAGTGGAAACGGACGTCGATGTTACATATATATGTCGATGGCTGTCGAGCATCTCAAAATGTTCATTCTATGTATGTTTTTTATATTTCGTGGAATTTTTCCTTGGATTTTGAGGGAATTACGAAATATGGGTGACGGTAGAACTTGGAATTCGGGCTCCGCATGCGTATCGATAAAGAGATTCTGTTGAAAGAGGTAAAACGAACCAAAATTTGTGCTCTTTATCTGTGTTACCAAGCATTCTCATCATTGCTGTGTGTATGTGTTCAGTAAAAACCAACGCTTCATTGAATTGATCTAATATTTAGATAGGAGATAACAAATTCATACATGAATGGATCTGATCACACATACACGTTCAGCGTAGACCGTTTTGCATTCTTTGCATCGTTTTTTTCTTCTATTTGGTTCTGGGTATGTCAAAGCAACGGTTTCACAACGATGTAATCACCTAATTCGGTTTTCTCATCATTTCTTGTTAGCATAATTTGCTAAAACAAGCGTATTTCAACTTTCTTTTAACGATGAGCAAACAAATAACACAAGCATATAAATGGATACATTTTTCTGTCGAAGACGTATTCTATTTGCATGGCACAAGCAAAACGTATAAAGACATTGCAAAAGTTACTGCGCAGCCAATTTTCGTATATGAAATGTTTGGTTCATTTTGTTGTTGGCGTTGCTGAATCAAAGCTAAAGATATGAGATGATTGGTTTGATTCCTTTGTAGCACACAAATGAATGTCGAACACAAACGGAAAAATGTGGAAAAATTGAGAGGAAAAAATGTGTCCAAAGAAACTCGATATTTGTTTTTTACATTCATTTGTTTATTCTGACAGACAAATCAACATGGTACACCAGCGAACATTTGCATCACAAACCATCTCGACATTGCGCTGATGTTTCTTTTCTGCTAATTTATTTTTCGTTTGAATTTTGGAGAAAGTCGAGAGCAACAATAGAAAATGTCACATCTAGTCTTATTATTCACTCAATCACTTGATTAATGACTGTGTCAATTCACTCAATAAAAGTATCACCTTTCACTTAAAGTAACGCTCCGCTCTCGAGATATGCACACATACTCAGAATCAAATGCTGTGAATATTGAGTCAAGTAATGGATTATCTTGCAGAACTTGAAAATGTCTTTTTTTTCACCAAAAAGAGACATACAATACACTCTCTCATAACATTCAAACACATTGTATTTTCGTGTTTGATTGATGACTCACCACATATATGCAATTTTCATAAACGGTGAGAGCGCAAACGGAAATCTTGTGCTTCACACATGCAATTCAGAAAGAAAATTAAACTGCGTTGTGATAATTGCCTTGGGGAGCCGGAATATGAATTAATGTTTTTGACGAAAGTGGTGGCTGTGTGCAGGCAACCGCACTCGAATCGTTGATGGAGTAAATCATTAGCAAAAATCGACAAAAACTACGACCAAGAGAGAAAGATAGGGAGAAAAGAGTCACAACAAATGGAAAAGTTTTGTGAGTGCTCAGCGAAAAGTTTAAACGCATGTTTACAAAGGTTGAGTGCAGACACAGTAAGTTTTCATCATCAGCAAAAACTATACACATTGCATCTCGTTTCTCATCACACAAACGAGCCGCCATCCAGAATAATATACATGGACGTACGCAAAAACAACGCAGAGGGGGAGAGGGGGAGCGAAGAAAAAATATTACGATATTTTGCTAGTGACAGAAAACATAAAAGTCGCAACGAAAAGCGAATGGGCAAAAAAAAGAAGGGAAACGACCAACTACATGAAACTGGCCTCCGCTTTGTCAATTCTATTTGCTCAATGATTCGGTTTTTTTTTATTCATTTCCAACTGATTTTATCTGTTGACCAAGTTTTGCTCTGCATTTCATCTCTCCATCGTTCGCTCTTGCTTCCTCGTTCATTCCATTCGTTCGGTCGGTCGTTCGACGAACTTCCATTATGTTTTTACACATACAAAGACATAAACAAAATGTCGGCACCAGAACACACGAAAATAATGGAGAAATTGAGCATTGTTTCTGTGTGTGGTTGTGTGGTGTTATTTGCTGATATACCACTTGATTTCGTACATACTCGGACGCTTTTTCTATGCACGTCCTGTTACATACTTCTTCATTTCATTTTTTGTAATGAGTTTATGACACACAAAAACTTGACCAAAACACTGATGCTCTGGCGTTGTTTGTGCTTGGACACAGCTCCGATGAAATATATGCAATGGGAGCAATGACTGGAAACTAATATTTTCACCATTGCCCCCATTTTTTGCGGCAATGCTTGGTGCTAGAGAATGTTGAGCTGTAACCAGAAGATGACAATTGTTTTGTCAAATTGGTTCACAAACAATTTGCCAAGTGTTCATTATGTTGCTGTATAAAATGACGTCAATGTATGAAAATCATTGTCTCTTCGCACAACTGCACACATTTCACTTCATTTTCTCTCTCTCTCTCTCTCTCTCTCTCTCGATTTATAGCCATCAAAAATGGCATTTGCGCCATAATTTAATTTTGATTGGTTGCTTGTTGTTTATGCATTTTTTGTAATTTGAAAAATTAAAATGCACGAAAAAACCACTTAAATTCGAATTCAATCACAGATGATATCTGCCAATCCGATTTTGAATAGATTAAATCGATTTCAGATCATCGTTTTCAATTTAGTGTTTGTGCTTCAATGTATTTTGGTGATTCACCAATTAAATTATCTTTTGATGTTTACGCCCAAGTGGATGCATATTTTTTGGTTTCACTACTCTATTTCACCATTCAAAATTCATGCTGCAATTTATGCGATTAATACTAAAGCGTAAATTTCTAATTGGAATAGATACGGATAAAAATGATGATTTCATATGAGGGAAAAGATAATATTTTTCAGAGAATTTCCTTATTTAAATGAATAATTAAGATTTTAATCTGTTTTTCTCTACCGTGTTTTTCATCCACTTTTTTTTGTGATGGCAAACATTTTGTAACACAAAATTATGTTTTGCAGAGTGGCACTCCGCTGCCGTGCGCACATTTTTATACTTTGTAAATAAAATATATACGTATCATACAAAATGGATGAAAAGAAAGTGGTTTTATACTTACGGTCGATACGCAATCCGTTGCATCGCCTGAATATGGCAGCCTACCGCTTTCTCTTCGTCCTTCGGGTTAAAAACACGCCAACGCTTTCGATGTTGTGGCAGTAGCGTGTGTGTTTTTGACTAACAAAATCTCCGGCGCGATGTGATTAGGGTGGCGAATGTGGGTAGGATGAGTGATTAGTTGGAAATCGGTCGATAGGGGCGATTTCCAAAAATATTGTGTATCTCTTTCGGTGTAGGGATAGTCGGAAGTGATTTTTCTATGATATTTCGGGTGATACCGGCTGCTAAAAGGCCTTATAACTCATAGATTTTCGAAGTATCCGCACAAGTTCCCTTTGTCGCACAACAAAAAATGCGAGTCGATTGACTAAATATTTCGACGTGTAACGGTGTGTTTGGAATCGTTTTTTCGAGCGATTGTTGGTCTTTTCAAACACTTCTGCAGCGCAATTCTGGTGTGTTCGACTGTGAAATAAGTGGGAATATGCACAATTTTTTAAAAATGAATCCGCTTATAGAGTTTTGTTTTGCTTTGTGTGTGAGAGATGTTTTTTTCATTTGTTTCTGTTTGAGTGCACAAGTGTCTCTTCGAAAATGTACCGAGCGCGATGTCAAATACGTGTCGAATTGGTTCGGATACCCGCACACACACACAGAGAGAATGAGATCCGATTGGAGCTTATACAAAGCAAAATGCTAGAGATAAACTGCGACAGACAGATGGAAACGAATTTATGTCAAGTATAGAGTAGAGTGACGCACATAAACATTCTCTCTCTCTCTCTTTTCGCGTGTTGTATGTGTGTTCTTTTTTGCCGCTTCAACTTTTAATTTCGAGTGAATTTTTTTTTGAGTTTTTTTCGCTTTTGAGAAGATACAAAAAAACAGACACAATCTAACTCCTTTCCACACGAATTTAACGGACCAAAATGTAGCGTTCGAATGAAGTTGTTAATGTTTTTTTTTTCTATTGTTTTTGTTCCGCTGGTTTAGTTTCTGTGTTCGAGTTGTAGCTTTTTTTTGGTGTAGCAACGAGCGACCAACACAATTAATTTAGGCGGTTATTTTTTGAATTGCAATTATTTATCAGTTCGTCGTTTTTGTTTTCGCGTTTTCTGCACTTAAATATCTCTTTTTCTCTTTTGTTTCTTTTTTTGTCACAACAAACAAAAAATTGCATTTAACCTTTATCTCTCTGGCCAATCAAATCGTAATCCTTTTTTCCAAGTATTTCGTCTGTTTTTTTCTGGTTTTTCAGTTTCTAATTATTATTCGAGCTATTTTATTCGTATTTTTTTCTATTGCCGTTTTTCAATTTTTCATGCATTCAATTGACCACGTCGAATCAATTTGCACGGTCAGAAATTAAGTAAGCTTAGCAAGGGGGAGTGGAAAAAAATACACGATCCGATGGTGGTGGCGGCGATGGCACTGTTAAATTCAATGTTTTCAGTCAATTTTTTTTCCTCGTAAAAACGTAAGTTTTGGTAATTTGTTGGATAAAAACTTTGGAGCTGATGGCCGTTTTTACGGTTAATGCGTCCAGTTTGCATGTGCAATTAATTTCTTTTTTTTCGCTCTTTCGGCCAATTTAACACATTTAATTGAACAACCAAACGGAGCAAAATGTCCGGCGTTTTTTTAAAAATCGTTTATCTGCTGTGTTAATTGCTTTTTGAACTGTTTTTTTTTTCGTCGATGATGTTAATATTTTCGAATCAGATAATAATTTCAATACTTTGTTGTGTGCAAATTAGTTGAATTGTTCATTAAGATCGCATTGGCAAAGTCCTGAAACGAAATAAGAAAAAAAAAACGGTTCAAATGCATGAAATACGATTAATTTTTTGGGAATTCCACTGAAATGGAAACACAAATATAAATAGAAATATAAATTCATTTCATGAGCGTGTATGTGTTGTGTGTATGTTTTTGTTTCAAACTTCAATGTTTTTCGTTTGAGTCTCACAAAAGAATTTCGTTAATGCATGAGCAGCTGTCGCCATAATCCATGGAAACAAATCATTATTTCACTTGGAACAAGTTCTGCGTAAATATTTATTTTTCTCTTTCTCTCCCTTCATCGCTTTGTGCAATTTTAAATTAAATATCATTCGAGTGAGAAAAAACATAAGCAATAGCGTGCGTGTGCAAGTGGCAACACAGCTTTTCACAGTTTATTAGTTGAAGATTTGTGTCTATTCGCGCTGTACAAGTGGTGTACCTCTTTAAAATTTGCATTGTATATTTCTCTTTTGCAGTGAACGAAGAATTTGATTCTCTAGCAACTTGTTTTCCGTCATTTCATCCATCTTTCTGCCTATTTCTCTCTTTCGCATATGGAACGGAACCAGACTCTCGTTGTTGTTTTTTGTTTTATATTCCAAAAAAAAGAGAAGCAGAAACATCAAACGAATTCACCTTAGCAAATAGAACTTCTTTCAATTTGCCGTTGCTTCTGAGTTTCTCGAGCTTGGTGCAGAAATTTTGTGTTTTGTATGCGCTGTCACAATTTGTTGGTTCTTTTGAGCGCCGTTCGGTACAGCACACAATTCATTTCATGGATATGGAAGTCATAACATCGAAAACAAAATGATGTAAACAACGGAGGCAGAAAAAGGGAAACCTTTTAGGATACAGTCGCAATTTTGAAAGAATCGCTCGCTGCCTTACATCATTTAACACACAAAGAGTCGAGAAGAAAAACAGAAGAAGACGACAGAAAAAACACACACCGACCCACATAAATATATATGTTTTTTTACAATTCAATTTCAATGTGTCGCATGCGAACGAATATATATCTTTTACAGGAGGCGCTTTTTCTTCGAATTTTTATCGCTCTCGCGCGATTTTGTCGCTACTTCGTTTGTTCTTCTGTCAGTGTATAAATGTCTGTATGATGCCGATGTGAAATGTAAATTTAATGAAAGAATGATACATAAAAAAAATATTGTTTATGCGTACTGCGTATTCGATACGAACGCGTTATTTCGGGCATGTGTGAACATTGAGCAAATAGAAACTGAAATAAAATCATTCGGTTTGTAGCTTTTGTAGCTACATTTTTCGTCCTCTTCTCTTCTCTTCACTTCTCTTGCGTTCGTGTATCTTTCTCTATATAAATAAACAATTTTTTTTTCATGCTCAACCCTGTTGGGAACATTTCCCGGATAGATGTGCGTGTATGACATGTTCGGAGCCCAAGAGAACACTCAAAGCACAGCCTACTAAACATGATTTGATGGCGCGCTAGCGTTAGTGAACGAAATAGAGAACGAAAAAAAAAAACATGGAAATGTCCGCGTTCGCCGAGTATTGCGCGATGTTCCCGATGTGAAAGTAAACACAAATGACGACTGGATGTATTTAAATTTTCATGCTCGTTTGAATGCAGTGCTAGCATAAAAACAAGGCTTAGAACACATGCGTCTCTTTCTTTCCCATTGTCTCTCATTGTGATACATTTAGCGAATGGAAAAAATCCTATTAAGACCAGTGTCGCGCGCTTCCCAACCCAATTTCTCCAGCGAAACTTTGGTTTAGCAAGGCATCATTGGGACGGACATACACGCATTTTGTTCGAGACATAAAAGTATCATAAAAGTGTACACCGAACAAAGGTTCATTCAAAGTCAACAGCATGTAATATTTGATCCAAAACGCTTCTGGGATGTATACATTGTAAAATTACGAATATGCGTGAAGCACACATTAATTCCATTACACAGCAGATTGCCTTGACCAAACCTAACGTACGAAACCAGCCATCGGAATAAAATAGAAAAACGACACGAAGAGCGCATTTCAACGGGATCCGCCAACAACATCATCTTTTGTTCAACAAAAATAACGAGAAAAAAAACACGCATGCTTTGGGCCATATTTTTTGTTGTTCTCATTGCTGTGGCGAAAGGGAGAAAGATAGAGAGAGAGAGAGAGAGAGAGAGAGAGAGAAAAAAAAAAGCGGAAATATTTTTGCATTTCTCTTCAATTAGTGGCAATGATATTGAACGTAAACATTCGCGTTTATTACACCAATGTTAGCTTTGGATGCACTACCCACATTTTTTTTTGGACTGGCTCGGGGATATAATCGCTTTTTAAACTATTCCCTAGTCGATTATATCAGTAAACATGGCTTTATGTTTTTCTTGTGGATATTAAAATTGCATCTGATATGTGTGCGCGCACCGCGGCATCAAAACGCACAATAAAATAAATAACAAGATGCCGTAAAATGTTTTATGTGACAGTTTGAACATTTTTGGCATACATAAAAAATTTAGTTGCTTGTTTCCAATAAAAAACATTCCCAAATTTTTTCCGATGGACTATAAAGCTGAGGCAACCATTTTCGATACAACTCACTATACGACTCATGTTACAAACAACGATGTTTACATCGACTACATTCGTTCAATTATATATATTTGTTCAGTTCGGGTTGAATGCAATTTCAACCCAAATTACGCATTCAATGCGAACCAACGAGGAGTTTGATTGCTCGATTCTCTTTTCAACTTCATATTACGACAATTTCTCTCAACTAGAAAATTATATTGACTTTTTGAAATAGAGAATGGAAAAAACACGGAAAATTGAACGAAGAAGACATAGATTGTATATACGTGTATACGACGAGTTTATTTTCGATTTAGTCACCCGAGTACTGATCCATCCGCAATGATGTCCTTCACTCTTTTCCACTTCCTTAGCATTTTCAGTCAAACCGATATTCACATAAAACCCACAATGTTTTACCTCTTCATGCTCGTTTACGTTACATCCACTTAATGAAATCGTTAAAAATCGATTTGCAATTGAAGAACCCTTTCATTCCACTAACCCTCATTTTTTCGAAGAAGAAAAACAACCAAGAACCCATTTTTACGCTTCGATGCAACACTTGGTTGAAGCCTCATTAGCCAGTGCAAAACCGTTTGCTTCAATGTAACGTGTGTAGAATGCATTTTTTTTCGCTCCCGTAAACGTATTGTTTAAATGGAATTGGAAAATGAACTTGCTATCAATATTATCAGCACCATCATCGTCGTCATCATCATAGTCAATAAATGCATCGCTTATTTCGCTATTCACCAGCTAGAACGATTGAAGAGAGAGAAAAAAAGCTTCGTGGAAAATTGTGAGAAATCGATTGTCTCGCAATGATGAATGGTTGAATGTGTGAATTGGATCACATGCAGCCAATCCATCCGTATGCCGCAGCCAGATGTACTACCTCTCTCGAATCAAGTGATAAAGTCTACTTAACTAACGTTACTAGCAATAATTCTGCTACACGAACATTGTTTTTCTTTCACACCGAGGATATCGATTGCACACTGCACAGATGCCTCGTTGTTAGTAAGAACTTCATCAAAACCGAACGATTCACCCAATGCTCTGCATCCATTCTGCAATGAGCCGCTTTTTTTCTCTTGCTCGCTTTTCTTTCGGCCAGTTCAAAGTTTAGCACGTAGGAAAAATGCAAGTGAATCATCGCGTATTGCGCGATACTGGAATATTTTCATCACTTTTGGATCAAGGATGTAATTGAAATCTTGTTATTGCCGACGTTTTTCACATCAATTGCTCAAGTTTTTTTAGTTTTTTTTGCCCATTGTTCATTGTGGCGCAGAACTCAGTTATGCTCCTTTTTCATTTATTTGATAGATGATTCACAAGGTTGCTGCAACAGCAATATACCACAGGCGATCCGGGTGGCACCGATTGTAATGTGTTGAAAAATACATTGTAACACACAGGATTTTACTATCGGTGCCACAAGGTGTCGCTAGTGGTAATGCTCTTGCAGCAACGGTGTGAGATGATTACTACCCAAGTATCAACTAGACCAGAAACGTCCTATAAAATTGAAGAAAAGTGGGTCCGGTGTGCAGTTGTTGCTGAAGAAGCCGTTTATTTTGCGCGATACTTATCATACAATCATAAAACAAAACATCAACCGATATCAAAACTGTAAGCAACCACTTTTTTATGTTCTTTTCCTCATTTCACATAGAAACGTATTCCTTGCACATTATAATCTTTGCACATAATAAAAAATGATTTAAAAAAACACATGAAATTGTGTCTGAGTTGATATTTTTTTTTTATTCTATGTTCAACTGACTTTATCACAACCGGAAGCTTAAAAGTCTTTTCACAATGTTTAAGTGGGATTAATAATCTGAATCGATGATCACAAAAAAACATTGGACAATTCGGATCAAACTAATTCGTTGACTTCATGGCCATTGAGTGTTAAAGAGACAAAACGGAATATTAAACGGTTACGATTACCTGTAACAAAACTGCTTTTGATAGCTCACTCATACGCGCGCCCAATTCAACCGCCAACTTAGTCCAAATTCTTCAACTGTATGGGATGCGAAACCAATGAAGCCTTGGGAAAATTCTTTTCAACCTAATGGTATCCCTTTATGTGTCAATGCATAATTTTAGTCTAAAAACGACCACCTTTGCGCTCTGTGCAAAACAGCACGGCGTGTTCCCACATTTTTGGGCCAGTGTTATTTTATATGATGACGACGACGACGACAATTTTGCCGACCGTTTCTCTCATACGCATAAAAGGTTGCCAAAAATATTACCTGCTTTTGCTGAAATGCGGCGCAACCGCCCGAGAAATATGCCGAGTGTGTGTGTGAGAGAGAACGAGAGTAATATATACAGCCATCCTAGTTAACGGTAAGCTTATGAAAATGGGCAAATGGGTAAAAAGTATGGCCGATTTGATGTGTTCGGTGGTCAAAAGGAGGAAATTG